TTCCGTATTATTTTTTTTGTAAATTGATCAACTTTATACGGTAACGGTCTGATAATGTACTCAGGGGTAGGGGAAATACTCAGAAGCGCTATGCATGCGTAAATTGTACCGGTATGGGTTTTACACACAAAAATATGATACACGTGATTTTAACTGCATACAAGTCAATCAATTGTTGCATAATTACCACCCAACAGCCATAACATCTCAAAGCTGATCTGGCGCACTTCTAACTAATGACAGGAGCTGTTATTTTGTTATTTTATCCCACTCTTCCTGGGTACTGTATGCAGGCTTCAGCAGGTGATTCGAGGCTGCGACTGGGAAATGGAGTTCTGTAAGTTTGGTTGAAAATCAAAGAATTAAAGCGTGTTACTCTGTGGAAACTAGCGAAAATGGGTGTAGAATAACAAGTATTACATAACCAATAGGTCAACTCTATCCTCGCAACTAATTTTTTTGGGCTTCTGGAGACTTACCCCTACCCCCGAGTGTATACACTGGGGTGTGTAGCTTATTCCCTGCGTGCAGATCTTTGGGTACTTATGCACTCCGCATGACGCGTTCTCCTAGTGCTACAACCAGCAGTTAACTTGTTCAAAAGAGTAAGACGGTGCAGATCTCGGTGCAGTGAACATTCAGGGCGTGTGGGGCTGAAGAAACCTATGATACATACGTGTCGGAAGTCCTTTGGAAAGAAGTTGCAGAGCTTGTACCACCGGCATGTGCTGAATGCTGTATGTGGCAGTGCTGATGTTGTACATGCAGCTTTTTGACTTGCAGCACACCCCACAAGCGGCTGTAACTAAGGCTGTGCCTATGCCTGTTAGTATGCCTTGCGTGCCAGATCCCCGGACCCCCCCTGACCCTGGCAAGGATTCGGAAATCAATAAATGACGGATAGATAAAGGCTAGAGATACTTTATCTGACATGTTTAAATCAGCATCGACGAAATACAGTACTCTCGAAATATTTCATCCAGTTAAGCTGGGGGCAACATGGCCACGTGTATTTTTGCCACCGTTTTCAGTTATAATCCATGCATACGCATATTCATGGTGTATTTTTAAGTGTCGCCTGCAGAACCTACGTGTTGCACTCAGAATGCCGGGCAACTTTGCCCTCATTTGGTCTCAAGCGGGGAGTTTGGACTTAGAAATAGTAAATATTATAGAATTGTAATCGTGGTCACACTTTTAATCCCAGGTCCTAAATCACCATTGACAACATGCCATGTATATAGATATCAGTATGGAGTGGGTACCCTGCCATGGCGAACAGCTGCAAGCGGGGTTACGTGAAATAAAATAAAAAAATAAAAAAAAAAAATTGTGAAGTGGGTGCGGAAGCGAGTCTAACCCGGGGAAAGCTCACTATGTTAGCGATGAGACTTCCCTTTCTTGTAGTCACGGGCCCGGGCCGAACATTATGGCAGTCAGTGGCGTATAGTCTGGACAGTCATGCTATGGACTCTCTGCTCAGGGCTTTCCATCGTACGATTGATGCTGAGAGCGTATGGGATGGATGAAGGCAATATCTGATACATAATTATGCAAGGAGTACTCAGACAGCGGCGAGAGTTACCACAGAAGTCCAATCGCCGATTTCCCCTTTTTATCATACCTTGAGAGTACTGATCATCACCCTCCAACTGTATTAGAACTTTCCAAATCCTCCATCATCGCGATGTATAACATCATCATCCCGGGTGGCATTTGCTCCGTACGACTTTCTTTCGACCAGATCCGACGTCAAATTAGTGCAACGAAACATTGGCTTGGGGATATTATCGTGCCAGGGGGCCGGTGCCGGGCCCGTCTTCCCCATAGTAGCCCGGTATATATGGGCGATGGGGATATGCCACCCAGTGGCGGGAACCCCAAGAGCACCATAAAGGGAGGAGGAAGGGTAAGAAGGGAAGTAGTAGAAGAAGGAAAGACGGTCGGAAAGAGTCTCTGGGGAGGATGCTGAAGGTGCCGGAGGTGCCAGAAGGCCTGGATGTGATCGAGGAGTTCCCAATGGGAGCGGTTATGTTGGAAGTACTCAAAGAAAATGGTTGGTAGCGCGGATGTGGCAGATACATTATAATATATGGTTAGAGTGCATAGTTTATGTAAGAGTTATTGGGCGCTCATAAATTTGCTTCACGGAAAAGCATCTCTAATGTAGATCGTAATGATACACCGTACATATATAGTAATGACTGCCTTACGAGATTTAAGAACCGCTTGCGCACAAGCCTATGCAATGGAATACGTTCAATTTAAGAATAAGGAAACAATAGAGGTCCATTCGTTATGATGCAGTGGTCTAGCTCTACATACTTTGTTTTGTCAGATCGAGTCGTAGTCCAACTGACAAAAACAATTGATGATTCCAGGACAGTTGAAATTCGAGCCCTCGCTGACGATCCTGCCTCTAGGCTTGTCCTTGTGTCCTGCTTCCCATTGGTCTAACGAACCTTTCTTTCTGCTGCTTCAACACTCTCAACTCCACTCTTTGTGAATTTATAACGTTGAGATGTCCCTCTTCGGTGACCTCCTACTCTGGACCTTCTGTCTCCACCTCAGAGCTAATTCTACATTCTCCGCCGGATATCGTCCCTATTTTCCGAGGTCTGTGACACAAATATATCATTTTCATCGTGCACAAGGTCCCTCTCACCTCCTACAATCCTTGGACTCGGACAAACCTGGTAGCCTTCCCTATATGATCTTCCCCTTGGATCTAAAGCCCTAAGGTTTACCTCGTATAAAGAAAGGTCTGCCAGGGGGCGACGTGTATATCCGGTCTGCGCTCGAGAAGCAGTGGCAAGGGTGGAAAAGTTGGGTTTGGAGAAACGTCCTTTCGCCTGACGATTGCTTGCGGAGGAGCTGCACCCTCGAGGGCTCATAGGCCTTGATTTAGATATTCCCCGTGTTGGATGTGCGGAAGCCCTTGAGGCTTGCTTGCGTTTGTAAGTCTGGGAGGTGACTCCTCCCAGGCTAGTGCTGGGACTAGGACGGGTAGCGGGGGTTAGCTTGATGTTCGTGAAAGCAACAGACTGAGAGTGGAGAATTGGTAAGCTGATTTCAAGCTCATTATCAGCAGGGTCTTTATAAACATAGAACGGAAGGGACCTGCGCTTCCTACTTCGTATATTGGAGCCAGCCGCTGCGTTACCATGGGGTTTTTTGAAAACTCCGTCGACCATTTCTTAAATGTTTGATCCGAATGCTATATTTGACTTTTGGGTATTAATTCTGCTTTTGCAAGTTGTTTGTGTTTAATTTTGCGCGTGCTTATTGCCAAATAATTTTCCTTAACTTATAACGGGAGAACAAACCCGACCGGGCGAGCGCAATCTGTCATATATGTATTCGAAAAATGAACATGAAACACTGAGAACTATCCGCCCAATGAATCGAACAGGCCAGGCCATGAGGGCCTCCTGGACCGGCCCAGCCGGGCTGAAACAATCAGGCCAATCAGGCCGGTCCAGGCCAACCAGGCCATTTACGTAAATTCAAGCGATTTTAGAATTTAACCCAGGTGAATTAGATTTTAATAGTCCTGGATATTTCCACTATTAGTAATTGACAGTTGCGTATTAGGTATCATCATCGAAGAATTGAGTTCCGTCTGTTGTATTATCTGGAAGGTCCATCATCTCTAAAATATTTCTTAGTATATATACTTGAATATAAAGTGTGATACATACTTGACGAAAGTCGTAGATCCCTGCTGTTTAAAATTCTAGATAGACGGGAGATTTTTTTTTTTTTTTTTGATATCATTACTCGCGCGTGCCGCCCTATGGGCTATGGCGAGGTTTAAGTACATGAAAATATGGGAGATAGATTCTACTCATTTAAATACTCAAACAATCTAGTAAACACTGGCCTCAATTCACCTGGATAGTTGTGGAGTAATTCATTTAATTGGCTTGAACCGGCCTGGTTAGCCTGGACTGGCCTGGTTAGCCTGGACTGGCCTGGTTGGCCTACATGAATCAGGCCAACCAGACCAGTCCAGGCTGGTCCAGGCCACTGAGAATACCGTCTTGGACCGGTCCAGGCGGTTTCAGTCCAATGCAGATCATGGCCAGTTGGATTCATTGTCTCCGTCTGACAGCTTCCGAAACATGCTGCATTTCCTGTTTTTGGAATAATGGGCAAGCCGTTTCATGGCCACTAGTATCGAACCAGATTTGGCCATCGCCCCTTGTTCAATAGTCTGGTTACATACCCCCCCGTAGGCATTTGTTCATCCAGACTAGCCTATGTTGGGGATAGGCTTAAAAGAAGGAACTATAGATAGTACTTGGTTTTTTTTTTTTTAATAATATTATTACTCGCATGCCGCCCTATGGGCTATGGCGAGGTTTAGTTACATTAAATATAAACAAATAACACTAAACTTAAAGTCCTTTAATGAAAATATAAACGAGAAGGCATAACGCTTGAGTCAGAGATGAAATCCCAATGAAAGTTCCAACATTCTTCGACCCAATCAAGCAACTCCAGTAGGGGGTCCTTGTCCTTGTCCTTCGGTGGCCTTATCAAGTCCGCCATTCCCCCTGGCCACTTCCGCTTCCATGTCCTGCATCTGGTGAGTACGTGTGTGGTGGTTTCCCCCTCCTCCCCACACCACCGGCACTCAGGGCTGTCTGCTTTACCGATCCCGAACTGCCACTTTCTCAGGGACTTACCCCCTAGCAGACCTGCCAGCGTCGATACCCGTCGTCCAAGTCTCGCCAGTGGCCTGTATGTTAGCTCCAGTCTGTTTCTCTCGGTGGCTCTCCAAAATCTTGACATTTGTCGAATTCCTGCCTCGGTGACGACCTCGTCTTGATAGTACTTGGTTACTGAGTCGCGCTTGATATGATAAGCTGGCAACAGCGGCCTGCCCTGCCATGGTGCCAGGTGGCTCGGAACAAAAAGAAAAACATCCAGAAAAAAAAAAAAAGAAATCCATAGCGACCGCGCTAACAGGTTCCTTAAACCATCAATCATCACCTGCCCTGATGGTCTAGTGGTATGATTCTCCCTTCGGGTTACCTGAAGAATCCTGCCTCTGAGAGGCAAAATGGGAGAGGTCCCCGGTTCAAATCCGGGTTAGGGCCGCAGCTTAATTATATTTTTTTTTCCCGAACTTTTTGCCAAACTTTTGACAGTTACTTCTTCTGTCAAATTTTATATTCATCATGTCCATAGGTATGAAGCTGCGCATTTATCTTATTGGGTAACAGGAAGGCTGTAACTATAATAATATAATCTTTTCGATCAACTTAAATTATTTATAACCTAGGATTTTTTTTTTTTTTTTTTTTAATATCATTAATCGCGTGCCGCCCTAAGGGCTATGGCGATACCGTAGCTACTAGCTAAAAGGATAACTAAACAAATTAGACTAAATGCCCCCCCCCCTCCTTTATAACCTAGGAAGATAATTACTCATGTGCCCACTAGTAAGCATTACCTGCGGTCTATAGCACCTACCTTCAATTTATCAGCTTCAGAATCTGCCAATACAGATGCTATACCAATATAATTAAGTACTCCTATACATTATGTTACGGGTCCACCGCAACCCGTAGCGGGGGCGGTACGGTGGATGCACGCGCGCATTCGAAATGCGCATATGCGAGCTTATGCGAGCCGATGGTGGTAATGAGTGCTATATGAGCTACGCAGAGGACTAGGGAGCGTCGCTAGTCAAGTGTCTTTTTGACCTGGCGGACGGTAACTCTCTGCGTTTACCAGATCCGTTACAATGTTGAGTAATTGGGCTTTTATGCATATATACTATAGTACTCATGTGCCCAAATCAGAATCCAAGGCTGTAAGCTATCCTGAAAATATCTTCCTATACATATATTGCTATTTCATGGTTTTAGATAGTCCCTATTCATCTTCTTCTGTGCATAAACACCCAGTATTACCTTTACCGAATAGGCAAAATGTTCACTAGAGTATGACATTGGTAATGTGTTTCACCACATCTCGACGCACACCACAATTCGACGCACTTTCCCACCAAACTGAGGGAATGAGAACCTATATATCCCCACGGACAGAACCTACTTTTCCATGCGCCTTTCAGGACGCTTAAAGCAAGCATCATTCTTCAGATCCTGCATCTCTACTTTTAAAAATAGGTAGTTATGAATGAATTATATCTCTGCACATTTTCACATAAGTCTTGGCACATATTTTTGCGGTAAAATTGCAGATATGGAAATCTACCCACTGCACCTGCAATTAATTCAATAAAAATATTTAAACATTTCATTTGGATAACCTATCACTATGGAGATATACATGAATGGCATCAACATAATCCTTGAAGTAATTGTTGAGCTGTTCAAAATATTTTCATTCCCATAGAAATATTGCATATGAATAGTATCGGAAGAGCACCTGAAAATATATATCAGCATGCCAACTATGCAATACGGTATATTAAAATGGACTGAATAAAATCAAGTGAATCAATCTACAACTAGGGGGGGCCCTTTGATTACAAGACAATTGCCATTGGTGTGATAGTGCTAACAAAGAATAGTATGTTCAGTCCGCTGAAATATTGTATGAGAATCCCATACAAATAGATGCCAAGACATTGTTACAAATTTTGCGGTGCCATAATTCCTTGAGAATGCTTGCTTTGAGCAGGCAGAGGTGCTAAACATGAAGAACAAGTATTTATTTAGTGTCTCTAAATAGCGCTTACAAAATTCTGCTCTAGTGGTTGAGGTACACCCTCTTCTGCGTGGCTAGTTTTGGTGGGAAAGTGCGTCGAATTGTGGTATGCGTCGAGATGTGATGAAACACAGTACTCTGTGGGCATTAGGGTAGTCACAACCAAACTTGCTACACCTCTTCAGCATAGGCTGTAGAGTATATATTCAGAACATAAGATTTCAGGTAAGCTCTTCCACACATGGTGACTCAAAGCATATTTAACATAAGGGCTGGATATATACCAGAATATGTCACCACTCATATGGTAATCAGTTGGCAAAAAGAATTTGCAAAAAATAATTTACTATATTCTCTCATGCTCTGGCTTTAATTTGAGCCCTCCTGAGGGCCATTCTCATTCACAGGAGCTTTATCCGTCGTCCTGTAAATTTGGGCGGTTTCCCGGTGATGGGCGGTTTCTAGGTGAAACACTCCATTAGTGAATTCCGTGGGCGACTAGCCTTAGGCGGGTTGGGGGACAACGTCGAAGAGGTGACGGAAGTAAGTCAGCATACCAGAGAACGATTCCATCTTTACTTCTAGCTATGGCGCCACTATAACCTCACCAGTGACAGAAACTGAACTTGGATGGGTACTCCTAGCGTAATTCAATTGACCACAACACGTCTAAAGTTTCGAAGTACGGAATACGGCTTAGTGAGTTTGAAACGCAATTAAAAAGGGTTGACTATGTACATTGGATCAAGATTAATTTTTACTAGGATTTAATATACGAATATGCGAGCGGAATATAAGATTTTTCCCATACCATGATGTTCTAGAGAGGCGCTCAAAAGCTGGTGAGTTAGAAGCTCAAAGAAAACTAAATTCGCTATGACACACCATATCGAGACGGGTCCAAATTCCAATCTTAGTTATTTCTTTATCTCCTATGTATTTAATTTCGCCGTAGCCCCTAGGGCGGGGCATGCGAGTAAGGTGCCTTCCCCTAAGGATATATGTGAAATTCAAACCCTGGGTTTGAACTAAATCCGGGGTCCGTATCCCTGGTTTATTGTTTGGTAGAGCGTTCGAAACAATTTTTTGAAAGAGGGCGGGGGGTACCCCTCTTTCAAAAGACTCACTTGAATAAACAATAAACAATAAATCACAAAAGCAGTTAGTTGGAGTACACTACTGCTGAGGTAGCATAGTTTATAATAACTATACCATATAGAGGATATTTAAATGCACATGTGCATCTTTTTTTTTTTTATATCATTACTCGCGTGTTTGTACTTATTCTTGCTTGCATATGTAATATCCAGTAATGCGTTCTTATCCTCCAGCAAAAAAATTTCACCTGGAGAGTTCAGTCTCCTCACTTTTTAGCTATATTGATACCTAACAGCTACCTAGTGCTTGCCGGCAGAAATTGACTGCTGTTTCTCAAGACCTAATGCTCTCTCTTGGTGCTTGAGAGCTCATGTTGTCTTTTGTGGTGAGATTGACAGCTTGTTCGCTGGCTCATAATTTCTGCATTTAAGGTGTAAATGTCTGCATACCAAAAAGTTTTCTAGATTTATTATTTACTCACATCCAAGTGCTTAGAGAAGCTACCCCCTGCTTGCGGTGGAACTGTACCCTGGTAAAATTTGGTTTTGATTTTCACATAAATCCTTAGGGGAAGGCACCCATTGATTTAAATGGGGGAAAAAAAAAATTAACATCACCATATCGATCTTTCTTGCAAATTGAAGGAAGGTACAGCAAAAGCAAAGCATAGTTGCACCCCACGCGGGATTCGAACCCGCAACCTCAAGATAACCTTCTCTGAAGAAGTATAGAAGTCTTGCGCGCTGCCAATTGCGCCAGCAGGGCCTTGTTATCTGTTCCTTGGCATGTCGAAAATTCCTATATAAACATTTTCATCCAGAGATGATAGTTCAGCACATGTGAAGCCAGGGTATACCAACAAGAGGTAAATTCCACATAACGATTTAGCACGGAATTGACATACTGCAACGTTTATGTACAGTAGGTAGGTAGATGAGGACGAGCTTGAACTTTGAATCGTGCATAGTTAAGACAGTATGACAAGTTGACACAAAAAAAGAAAAAAAGATGTGTGGATATTGAAACAAATTTGATGTGGTTTGCATGGCCATTTAAATCTCACTGTCCCTATATGTCCTCACGAACTCTGTTAAATTTTGTGTAATCTTTGAATCGTTATCCACCCTGCACCACCAAACGTCCAGAAGCTCTTTATTGAACTCCGTAGAGCTACCTTCCTATGGGACGCCTCAGGGAGCAGAAAGAACAAAAAAAGAACAATCAAGTCATAATATACACCCCCATTTGCCCAGCTTACCCACCGCACAAAATACATTTCAAAGTTTTCCAACACCCTTCATCCCCATGCCCTTTCAATTCTCCTCGACAAATGTGAGAAACGGACACCGGATATGAAACCCATGGGGATTTTCTATAATGGCGATCATGATGAAGATTGGGCGGAGAAACCTATGCTTCGCCTAATATATGAAAAGAAGAATAACCAACTCCGCGGCCTTCCCATAAAAATTCTACCGTCAGGATCGGAAACAGGGATGTTCCATTTCCCATCACCCAGTCTATCGCAGTCTATTGAAATGAACCCCCCTTCCCATTTTTTTCGGTTTTTTTTTTTTTTTTTTTTTTTTTTTTTTTTTTTGGCCAAGTAACCCCGCATACAGGCCACAAGCCTATGGCAGGAATTTATATCCCCTTCCCACTCTGGGAAGGATATTACCTACATACTCTTTACTCATATGTAGCTGGGTAGTTAAAATACATCTCACAGGATATTTTTCTTTTTTTATATCATTACTCGTGTGCCGCCCTGTGGGCTATGACGATCATGAGTTTTGATATCCTCTTGGTAGTCCCCTGCAGATTATGAAGGATTGGGAACTACTTGCATATTCCCTACACTACTCTCTCCCATCAGCCTGCGCCTTCATCCTTTTCTTCGCGTCCCCTTCTCCGCTGTGCGAACTATGCCTCCCCGCCCCTCAGTGCGGTGCCTGTCACTTTTCCACGAACTGCATGAGGCTACCTGTTCCCCGTCTTACTGTGCCGGCCATCTTCTGAGCTCCTCCCATGTCGAGGCTTTCAGACCCGCCAATAACCCCCTTCTCCATAACTTATAAGTTAACCTCAACCACCTTTGGGAAGGATGTCACACACATTATGTACATAAATATATACATGCAAACTTACATACATACATACATAACTTACTCTCTAACTTTGTATAAGTTACGCAAACCGGGAAGTTGGTTTTTAACCTTCGTGGAAGTCGCGAGGTCTCATGTAGGCGATTTCAGGGTAAGGGGGTCATTTCGTGGACGTGTTGGCACAATTTGCTGAAGGTCGCTTGGGTCAAAGGAGATAGCGTGGTAGAAGGGAGCTAGAAGACAGACCGAACAGTGCCTGCCACATAAGAGCTCGGGACATAGACTGAGGAAAAAATGGAAAGAACAGGAGGGAGAGAAGACAGTATATTCAGCACTGTTTATAGAGCAGTGCAGTGGGAAGAGATGGAGGGTGACCTAACATACCTGCTGATTGAAAGAATATTAGAAAAAGAAAGGAGAGCGATTGTAGGCTACTGTATACGCAGAAGCGGAAGAGACAGCAGCACATTGGATTGAAGGACCTGCGATGTATCCCGAAGCCCCCGTTGTGAGAAGAGCTTAAGAGGGGGTTGCCACTGAATCCAAAATCCAGGAGTTCGTAGAAGCTGTGACAGAGGGGTTGCGTGCGCAGAAGGGGCTGGGAGATGCAGGGACATACGCAAGGAGAGGGCGGTGGAGCAAAGCGGAGGTAAGTTGGTGGGGGATACTTGCAGGTCTGTAGCTGGTAGCTATATTTCTTCATCCCTACCAGCCACGCCTAGCCATAGCCCAAAGAGGCATAAGAGTAATAAACGAAAAAATTGTGTCGGGGGAAGGAGGGTAGCGCCCCAGAGATCGATGCATCAGGGAGTTTTCCATTGTACTAGCGACGAAGACTGATCAGGGAAAAATATAGATAATTCTAAAGAATACTAATTGACGGCACTACCGTCCCCACAAAACTCAACCAATCACGATCATTGGATTGAAACTTCTTATTGAAGTATACAGTCGCCCCAAAGTGAGTGGATGCAGGCAACGAGTGTCACACAATCGTACAAGGTAACTGCGCACCCTGCAACCCTACGCCTATATCCATCCTCCACAAAATCAGTTTCTGTACCTTATTATCTCTGAGTTTAGGCTCTTGTAAAAACTGCCCCAATACTCATTTTATGGGGTAACCCCTCCGTTAAGCCTCCCTGCGTAAGTCGCTTGATCAAAGCGGCATTGAGCGAAACAGGATATGCAGTAACGTTCAGCGAGCCGACCAGGCTGGTATATCATATAAAATTCGAACATCTTTGACAGGAGACAACACAATCGATCAAGCCTCCCTCCACCGATTGACTTGTGATACACTACTGATAAGCCGGTCGCTACATCACATAAAAGATATACACATTTTCTGTATTTATACGACATATAAAAAACTCGTCAAATGTTCAAAATTCCCATCTTCATATAATGCAGCAACAGTAAAGGTAGGCATCTACGGCCATAGACTGAAGAAAACGAGGCATCCCGTCCGCTCTGCCATATCTAAGCTTCAGATCGCCAAGTTAGTACTACGGTGGGTGACCACGTGGGAATCCTTGGTGCTGTAGATTATTTTTTCCTTTTTGCCCTTTGGAAACGAATATAAGTGCACTTGTAAGGTTTCGTGCTGGTAGAGCCGGGGCAGCAAAGGATGTCGTTGAGTATGTAGTGTATTACGTAAAGATAGGGCTGTAGCCTGAATGCTGGGTGGAGCAGAGTTAGCTAAACGCCAAGCTATCCAAGAGCGTGATGATATTGCCTACAATAACACCCAGGATGTTATCATTCTGCACTGGCGGAGCAAAGCACTGGGATGTCATAACATTCAGGAGAGCGATGGCAGTGCAGACAATCATCCTGAGGATGTTATTGTTGTGCAGTCACGCGATAGTTAAGAAGGATACTGAAGTAGATACCCAAGTATTGGAGTAGGTGGTCTGGCCGTGTGGTGGATTACCCAAGTGGACATGAGTGAGGACACGGGTTGTACGTTCTAGTAAATTGGCGATCGTTTTAGATATATAGCTAGCTTCCTCTATCCCTAATTATATCCAGTCCAAACATGTCGCTGGACAGAGACATTTTACTCATTACCATTATATATAGCTCCGTTTCCCAAGGCCATAAGTACATTATTGCTATTTGCATTCTCGTCCAATCTGCCAGACCAAGGCTCTGAGCCCCTCTCCAACGTCTCCGCGCCCCATCTAGCGAACCCAACCCCCTATCCCTAACTCCGCTCTTTACACATCCTTCTCCTCTTCCTTTCCGCAGGAGCCGTTACTTCACCTTCATCTCCTGCCTCAGCGCTCCTTCCTTCACATCCTCTACCATGTCTTACCCGCCACATTGCCCCCCTACTGTTCATCTGCAAAAAAGTGATCAAAGATCTTTATTGTAGTCGCCATGGGGAAATTCAGGGTAAACACTTGAATTTTCCCAAAACCAATATCCGGCCCTGGAAAACAAATTGCTTTACTCACATAAAATTAGATATCAAACTTTTTTCATAGGATAAGACTTTCATTCAAACCATCAATTCGGCAAATATTCTACTAATGTGTCTCAAGTTGATTCATCGCAGCCGTTTGCAACGCTACTTAGGTGGCAGGTAGGGTTAAAAAGTAAAAAAACGACAAAAAGGGACCTTCGATAGTCTCCATGAACCTATTCAGGGAAACTGCTTAAATATTCCTGACCATGCCTGGGATCGAAACACCTTATCCCTCGTTCCAACCTCGAAAAAAATAACTAACTCTTTTTCATCTCAATCCAATGTAGCACAGTACACGTTTGCACTATATTGCAGGGTTTATAAAAGCAGATGTGACCAAATATCTTGTAGTCGCCGTGATCTAGATTCAGGGTAACGACTTAAACCGTCCCATCCGTACACTCCCTAAAGGTTTTTTTTTTTTTTTTTTTTAAATATATCATTACTCGCGTGCCGCCCTATTCGCTATGGCGAGGTTTAAATAGTCAACACACGGTGTATACCCATATCCAACCTCACAAAAATAGATTTCTATCCCATCTTTCCCACGTCTGCTCAGCTTCTTCAATGTTCATCCCCTTCCCCCATCCGCGTATACCAATAGACCCCCCTATTCGCGTAAATCAATCGATCAAATCAATTAAAATTTTCTCTACGAAAATATCACTGCCAATACCAGTACCACGTCGGTTAGCACATCATATCAAGCATGCAAATGTGCTAGCTAAATCATCTATATCTCAAAATCATCGTCAACTTTTATACAAAGCCTTTTGATCGATCTTGACTCAGCACTACACAGCACAGCGACGCAATTGCAAGGCTGCTTCGGTGGTGAGGTAGGGTAAAAAGTATAACGAAAAATAAATAAATAAAAAAATATATGACCAAATATCTTCCTAGCTGGTAGTTACCTTGGGCGACTTCAGGGTAATGGGTTTCCCCCCAAAAAAACTGCAATTCCTATCCCTCATTCCCACCTCCACCCTTCCCGTCTTTCCCATCGTGAATCAACCTATCAAGGATCAAATCTCCCACGGAATGAAACAGTATCTAGCACTGACAAGCCAGTCGGCGCATCGCATAAAATATACAAACATGTCATTTTAATATATATATATATTCTACCCATTATTACTCCAAAATTACCGCCAAATCAGTTACAAAAGCCCTCATCTCAATTCCGC